GTACAAAAAACAATGGAAAAGGACATCAAAATTAAGACTCTTCGATAACACTAGATGGTTGGGTTTGAAGTTCAGAAGACTGCTGGGAGGACATCTCGGCAGCCTTCTCAGTTGCGAGCTCGGCATCTATTTCTTGAAGGGTTTGATCGAGGCTCTTGTTGGCGAGAGGCACGTCCGATGATGCCTTTTCAGGAGTAGCATCCGTGGGAACCTCCTCATCATGAGTCAAGTCCAGGACTTGCTCATTTGGAGTAGGGGACTTGGCCCCAACAGCTTCCTTTGACTTCCTCACCAAAGTTTCCTCCTCAGACTCAGAATCGTCGTCGGATTGGCTTGGAGTTGGAGGGAATGGCAGGGCGAGGACGTCGGTGTTCCTGAGGGGGGAGTCCTCGGGGATTTCAAGCTTTTTCAGCAAAGTCATCCAACCAAGGGTGAAACCCTTGTTGTATGCCTGTTTCACCTATTTCTCGTAGTCCGTCGTGACATCGGCCACCCTCTCATTGTATCCCTTCTCATCAGCGGCCTTGAGCTCAGCATCTTTTGTGGCCAAGGCATCCTGCAACTCTTTCTGGGCCTCGGCCGTCTTTTCTTCGGCCTCTTTCTTCTGGGCCTCAAGAACTTTGTTAATGGCCTCAGCGACATCCACTTTTTCTTCGGCATCATCCTTAGCTTTGACAGCACCCTCGGCCTGGTTTGCCAAAGTCTTCATTTTTTATTGCAAGTTTTTATTGGTCTTCTGCAAACTAGCAGCCTCCCTAGTCTTGTCGGCCAACGCCTTCCTTGTCTCAAAAGATTGCATTGAGAAGGAGTGGACGTGCTGGATTGCCTGAAGACAAATGGACAAAGTAGAAGTTATTAGAAAAATTTTCTAAGTATAAAAAAGAAAGAAAGATACCAAGGGTGAAGACATACTTGAACAGAACGCTGGAGCATCAGAGCAAAGTTTTCATACTCGCTCATCTCGGCGTTTCGGTCAAGATCTCCAGGAAGGAACAAAGATGTGCTAAGGGCAACATCGACGTTAACATCATCGGCACTATCATCAACTTTGACCGGCCTATCCTCCAAAGTAATAGGTGGAGCTCAGGGGGCATCAGACTTCATGGAGCCCGAAGCTGTTGCAGATTCGGACCTCGGCCTCTTTGACTAGGTGGATTCGGAAGGTTGGGCATCGGCGGGCCTCTTCTCGGCAGCAGAATGGGTTTTCTCGCTCGAAGCCAATTTGAAAATTGGCAAGGTGTCCTCAGTATCAACCTGAGTCACCATTGCCTTTGCTTGAGCCTTCTTTAGCCTTTTTTGTTTTGGCTTTGGAGGCTGAGTTGATGCTGGTTGAGTGTCTATGGAAGATGAGATGTTGGCCAAGAGGTCTTTAGCGACTGCTTTCTGGCGGCCCATCTCGGAAGCAAAAACAGTTCGTCGCCGGCGTTGGCGTTGAGATGGTGGGATCAGATATGGAGCCGAGGTTGACGGTTGCTCTGCTGGATCTGAGGTTGACCCTTGATTTAGCCGAGATGAGGACGCTGTTGGTGGAGTTGTGGCCGAAGGGGGAGAATGTCTTTTCTTCCTCTTTGGGACGTCGGGAAGTACCGACTTATAGGTCGGGATAAAATTGAACAGTAAAGAAGCTCTCCTCAGGTGGACAGGCAAATCCAATAGCCACGTCAAGTCCTTACTGGGAAAAAAGGACTTGCGAAAATCTTTCGGTGGTTGAGGAAGAGCTGCAAGAAAAACAGATGGTAGAACATATGGAAAGAAAGAAATATTAAAAGCTTGAAAAAAATAGCACTTGGCTCTTACCATTACCCTCTACAAATACTGTTCGGTTGAGAGGGTACAGGTGAAGGTCGTCATCTGAAGCAAACTCCCAGTTGTCCGAGACAATGAAGTAATCATCCCCGGCTCCCTTATTGGAGTCTGGGAGGTCGGCAACTAGTTTATATTTAGTAGACCTCGGTTTGAGGTAATAGACATAGCCTTTATCTAATTTGAGGCCACACATGGTATAGCAATATTGGATGTCGGCTAAGGTCACCCTAGCATTTTCTCGGCGTGCTAAGGCTATGATACCGTTAATGACTCTGTATGAGTTAATGGTTAACTGCATCGGGTTAAGCTTGTAATAATGGAGGACTTCTCGAAAAAGGATGTCTAGCGGAAACCTGAGTCCACACTCAATAAAGGCAACAACAGAGAAAGGCATGAGGTTTACATCGGGCATGATGGAGTCATTTTCCCCGGCCAACCTCAGATGAACATCAGCCGGAATGTCAAACTCCAGCCTGAAATGCTCTAATTTGATCAGGGTATCTACCTTATGCCTCCACATACCCATGATGTCGGCTTAACTAAAGGAGATGGATTTCAGAAGGGAGTGTTTTAGAGGGTTTTAGGGATCTCGGCTAAAGCCTAAAAATACACAGAATCTGTGGGGAATCGTTTTAGTTTTTCCTAAAAATTTGTGGGTTCTACAATCAAATCCCAAACCTAGATCTATGGAAATGAGGATTGAAGGCACGAATCTGGAAAGGAAATAGAAAACAGGAATGTAATTCAGAGTCAAGAACAGTGATGGATCATCAAGAAACACAAGACAAAAGTTTGCGCAGGTGTGTCAGGTCAAGAACAGTGGCAAAAATCAACAAGTTTGTGAACAGTGTGAATTCAAGAAACAGATAGGGCAAAAAAAAGAATCATGAGACAAACATGTAGTGGAAAACAAGATACAAGTTGAAATATCAAAGATATGAGCAGGATTACAGAGGCAGAGCAGTGGAGTTCAGTAAAGCAAAAAAGAAACTGAAACAAGAAGTTAAATCGGGAAGAAACAGTAACTCACCAAAGAAAAGAAGCCGGAGTTGAGTTCGCCAAAGTCAGGCGAGCAAAAACGGCAGAAAAGACTAGCAAAGGCCTCGCTGGATGGGGTGAATGGCGGTGGTAGAAGAGCCTGAAAGCTTGGAACAATGGAGGATTTGAGAAAGTAAAAGAGAGAGAGAGAGTTTGAACAAAAACGATGATAAGTGAAAAGACGAGAAGAGAGGAAACGAGTTTTGTCAAAAACTTGAAGAGGCGGCAAAATGCAATTAAATGTGCCTGGAATGACATATCTGACAGATGGCACACGTAGGCGCAAAACAATTTGAGTAGCTCGTATCACACACGGTCCAGTAGGAGACAGACATGTGGAAGAAACGGTTGAACTGTTGTGCATGACAGCTCATACGCGTGACAAAACTCTTGGAGTTTTTGATTTCATGGAGCCGTACCTCGACTTGGAGGATGATCTCGGCTGAGAAACTTGAAACAAACCTGGTTAATGGATTTGAGGCATTGATGGAGGTAGACAATGGGTCTTGGTCATACTGAGCCAACTAGTTCTTACTTCGGCAAGGAATTACGAAGCAAGCTAAGCCGATGTGTTATAAAGAAATACTGATATAGGTTCCATCACCTCAGGATGCCGAGGTAATAGAACCTAGGGGGCAGTTGTGGGGATATATTCTGTGAGTACCAACACGTGGCCAAGGTGACGCTGACGTGTCAGCCGAGGTGCCACATGTCCTGGTCGTGACGCCGAGGTGATCTCGAATAAGCCGAGGTTATCTCCGAAGATATCGGAATCCGGGATAAATGGATAAGGGACAAGAGTCCTAGAACGAGGAAGGACTTCAGCCTGGATAAGGATAAAGCTCTTAGGAAGTTTATCTTTATCTATGGGAGAGTTCAAGATAAGCACTGAGAAAAAGTTCATTGAAGCTAGGTTTCTATTGGGACTAAGATTGGGTTAACTATAAAAGAAAGGCACCGCCATGGGTCTAAGGTACGCAATTTATATTCTGAACAGTGAGTTAAGCACTTGATTTATCTTTGAGATATAACTGACTTGATCGTCGGAGTGCCCCCGGGTAGACAAACCACCGTCGGAATCTCTTCTTTCTGTTGCAGGTCAATCAGGCGCTATCTATTCTGCCAGTGCTCCCTAACTGAATACTGAGTTGGCAGTGTGGTCAGAAATTCACTCACACAGAAGGAGATGAAGATAGATAAAAGAGCTAGCAGGGGAAGAGGTGGAGGCAAGTGGTGAGGTGGATTGCAAGGGAGCAGAAGACAATTAATTAAGATAAAAATGAGGGTGGTGGCTATCGTGTAAGAGTTCGGGTTCTATTTCAGGAAATGAAGAACGGCGTCTTTTTGTGTTTGGATCAATTAATTAAGATAAAGACGAGGGTGGTGGCTATTGTGTAAGAGTTCGGGTTCTATTTCAGGAAATGAAGAATGGCGTCTTTTTGTGTTTGGATCAGTGCTTAGTTCAAGGCAATGATGGCATTTGGGAGTTTTTTTTTTTTTGAGGTGGGGAAGGGGCGGCCAAACTCCCAAAAATTTGAGGAGAAAAGTTAAGGATCATGAAATTTTTTTTATGAAAATGATTCTTAAATTACCTTGATTAGTATGTGGTGCTTTATTCTAAGTGTAATTCAAGTGTCACAAAACTTTCATGATTATTTTCATAAAAGATTTTTTATGATACCTAACATTATTGATATTTGAAAAATATCATATATTATACTAAAAATTTTAAAATAATTTAAAATTATAAGAATTCGCACTCCCAAATTTTTTAAAAATAATTTCAAAATTATATGGAGTAGCCTTCCAAAATTTTCAGACTATAGAATAGCTCCCCCAAAGTCTCAATCTTGGATCCTCCCTGGTTCAAGGGGTTTGTGTTTTGTAGAGGGGGGTATTGTGTTTTGTGGAGGGGGGTATTCAAGTAATGTCAAGTTTAGATTCCGAGATTTGAGAGAGAGAGAGAATATAGCATGCAACTTTAGGTTAAACTAGGGTTAAAATTAATATTTCGAAAATTTTAATTGTTGACATCAACATATTTTGTAGTTGACTTAATTGTTGACCAATCGATAAGAAAATCGTAACCGAGAAATAGAGATGTAATTTGTCAATGTAATTTATCGCTTGTAGCATATACATGATAGAGAGAGAGAGACGGGCAAAAAGAGATTATATGCATTTAGACAACTTGCAAAGTTACATATTTCCCCTTGTACATAGCTAGTTACAAGATGTACGGAGCGTTTAAGCCAAGAGAAAAGACTTTCATTTTCTTTTGTTTATTTTTTGTTTTTTTTTTTTTTTTTTTTTTTTTTTTTTTTTTTTTTTTTTTTTTTTTTTTTTTTTTTATTTTTTTTTTTTTTTTTCCTTTCAACAAGAAGTTACATATTTTCACCCGACCCTCACAAACTTCTCAATTGAACAATGATATACTTTCATTTCTTCAATCCGTCTCTGCACCCTAAACTGTCGTCGTAAAGATAATTTTTTCCCTTGTCGTTGTAAAGACATTTTTTTTCCACTGCACCAAGCGTTGCAAAAAATTCATGACCTATATAACAACAATTTATTAGAAATTGAAGTTATAATAAAGAAATTGTCTTAAAAATACTATAATGCAATACACAAATAATTTTTTTATTATTAGATATAAAGGAAATAAGGATCACGTCAACAAAAACATGTGGAACCCATTATCTATGTCTAATGCTAAAAAAATAAGTTAAGACCTGTTTAAGCATAGATTTTTTCTTTAAAATAAGGCAAAAACATGAAACAAAAATATGCATGGAGATTCTTGCCTCAGATGGCTCCTGTAAACAGTAAGATGCATTGGTGTCCTTGGGAATCTTGGAAACAAGAATACCAAAACCTTGTCCTCTGTCTCTTAAAACCTAATTCAAGTTAACATAAGATGATTGGCTTCAATTTCTGAAAATTTATAATATATAAAACAACTTAATTTTAATTCAATTTTGCACATTGGATACCTTAAATGCATCCTCATCCGTTCGATCATCTCCAATATAAACAGGAAAGACATCGGTACAATTTGCATAACCTAAAAGAAAAGGATTCGTTACAAAATTTTAGTGATTAAACTATAGTGTGATGGTTATCTATCATTGTTATTAAATTAAACAGGAAATAAATTAATTAATTGAGGTGGCCATTTTTTTTACCTTTTTTGTTTTTTTAATATTTTAGTTTCACTATTTGGATTACATAAAAATGTTTCCAACAACCAAACAAAAGACTTTGTGCAATGAATTGTGATTAATGCATAGAAATCAATAATTTAAACTCGCCAAGAGACTCCAACAAAAATTCAAGAGCCTTCCCTTTGTCCCATTTAATTGTAGGACGGATCTCAAACACCTGTATTAAACTTCAGAGTTGTAGAATAGTCGGGATGTGTCTCTAATGTTGTGGTGGGTGCAACACTGAGAAAAAGTACTAGCAAATTACCCTTAAAATTCGTTCCAAATAAATTTACCTTTAAAATATATAAAATGTGTGGACAGAATGAAAGTGGCCCACAAATTTTATTTCAAAATAGGTTTTCATAATACATTTTCCTTTCCATATTTGGGTATGGTTGTATTTAGCAAAGAAAACCAACCTTATCAATCATTGGAACGAATTCACTGAGCAAGGATCCTCTAGAGTAATTTTTCCCTAAAATTTCCTAAAGTGCTACATTGTGTGGTTGAGATTTACTGGCAAGTCACATCAATTTTTCTGATGTGACTTGCCAGTAAATTTCAACCACACAATATAGCACTCTAGGAAATTTTAGGGAAATTTCACTCTAGATGATCCTTGGTGGAATTCACTGGCCGGTTGGAAGAGAACAGATTGAGCATCCTGAAGATTACATAAATGCAAATAAAAATATTTAATACAAACCAATTTTTAATAATTTGGCATTTATAATAATTCTTTTTTTTAAAAAAAAGAAAAAGAAAAAGAAAAAGAAAAATGACTAATGTGTATATTTATATTGCTGTGAGAATACAAATACAAATACAGCTAGCTCACTCACATTCTTGTCTTTGGGACCTTTTGATGGGCCTTTAATGTCCATTCCATGGCTTCCAGCATAGTACAACTCTGCTAATTGTACAAAGCTATACACCTACAATTAAAGAACAAAGTTACAAACAAACAATTAGCTCAAGAACATATTATAAAAATGATAATAATTCAGTGTCCGAGTCTTTTGTTAAAACAATACAAAATGATACTAAAAAATAGAACAGTTAAAACTTAAAACTAGTACGGAGATGGGTTTCTGTTTATGACGGTTATGATCATTTAATTAAGGAGTTTGGAAGAACTAAAACAGAACAAAATTAAAATTACTAAGAAATAAAAGAAAAGAAAAAAAAGCAAGTACCTTGTCTCTGCACCTCCCACTCACAATAGCAGTGGGAAAATATCTAGCAAGTTTTCTCGCTGTAGTTCTCATCTGTGATATCAAAGTCATAAAAACACGTTAGCAAAAATAGAGAGATTTGTGGATAAAATACATGATTGGGCATCGGGAGGAGGAGGAGGAGAACTGACCGCATCGGACATGTAAGCTCGATCAGGGTCTTCGACTATGGGCGAAAGCGTGCCATCGTAGTCCAGAAACATCACTATTTGCTTCCCCTTTGAAGCGTTTGTTATCTGCTCGAGCATTTCCAGTGCCGATGGGTGACGAAGCTGTTCCATTGAATTTTTCGATTTTATGTGTAATTTGTCTCGACTGATCTCTCTCTAATTATATATAGGACATTTTTTGACTTTTTAGTCCACGTGTACTGAATAATTAATTAGCGCTCTGAATGGCCTGACGATAGTCAAACATTTCATAAGATTAAAACTTAAATCTATGTTGAAACTGATCACTCTCCGCCAAGACAATCTCCGATGCTTAATCAAATTTTTCACTAAATTTGAGTAAAAAAAGTTAATTTTCTCAATCTCATATCTCTCCCTCCAACCGGGCATCAAAAGGGGAGGGTCCGTCAACCGATGAGGCAAAAAAATTTTTTTTTTTTATTTTTTTTACTTGTTTGAACATTTTTAACCGGTTTGAACCTATCTATTTGAAAGGGAACCGGTCAACCGGTTAGTCTCCTCCAACGGTCACACACAGTAAAGTAGTGAAATCTGTACCCTGTTCTTACTTTGATAAATTTTTTGGTGAATTTTCATTTTGATACCTATTTGCTGAAATCATTAGAGCTCCAAAAAGTGACTTTTTCACCAAAATTTAAATCTGATGTCAGGTTTGGTTTACCCTTTGAGATGCTCTAACCCATTAATTAGAATTTGTCATTTTGCCAAAAAACAAAGCAGAAATCTATGTATATGTATGTATGTGTTTTGGAAAGTATGTATGTATAGTATACACTACATATGTGTATGTGTATGTGCATGTGCATGCCAATACCCATACATACGGGTCCACAAAATGATTGTTTGTGTGGAATCAGATCCTTGAGTTTTCTACTTCACTTCTTACTTACTGGATTATTGGGTCTATTTTAGGTGCAATTTTGATAATCTGAATTGTTCGGATTTTAAGATTTGTTGAATATATTATATTGTAAAAAATTAAATTGATCGGATATTAAGAAGTATGTATTCGAAAAATCATTTATTAAATTTGTTTAAAAAATGGTTTTTAGTTTGATAATTCGAATACATGCTTTCTGATATCCGATCAACTTAATTTTTTTACAAATATAATATACTAAACAAATTTTAAAATATGAACAATTTAAATTATCAAAATTGAACCTAAAAGGGAGCAATAATCCAACAAGTAGAAAGTCCAGTAGGAAAGTGAAAGAGGGATCTGATTCCGTTTGTGTGTGTCTATTTTAGTACATGTATAATTTATGAACAGAGAAAGAGAGAGACAGAGAGTACTCACAATCCACGAACTTTGGTCTTCGGAGAGAGAAGGGGTGGTGGATTTGACATGGGTTGGTGAGGAAGCTCTCATTGAGTCAACCCAGGCGTTTACTCTTGCAGCTCCATTGATTTCAAGGTTCTGGATTAGCTTCCTCTGTAAAATGGTGAAGAAGCTGCCCGGAGCCACTGGCGGCTTCTGCGCCGCCGTCGTGAACAGCGACGAGTTCGCCGCCGCCGCCACTGTTATCGCCATGTTGATGGCCGATTTGGTGTTCGAAGCTACCACATTTTTCTTCGTCATCTTATCTCTTTCTTCAATCAAACTCACTGCAATAAAAACCAAAGTCACATTACATGATTTTGATGACAAAAAACTGTTGAAAAAATGGTTTAATATAGGCATATTTTTATTAGCTCAAAATTGAGTGTTGATGGCCGATTTGGTGTCCGAAGCTACCACATTTTGCTTCGTCATCTTATCTCTTCCTTCAATCAAACTCACTGCAATAAAAACCAAAGTCACATTACATGATTTTGATGACAAAAAACCACCATCTTTTCAATTTATAAACCCCACTAATCTCCAAATTGAAACATACCCATTTCAGCAAAACTAAGGTTTTGATCAACAACTAAAAATCTCTGAATTAATGGGTTCGATCGTTAGGTAACAAGAAATCAGAGGAGAAAGCTCTGTTTTCAGAGAATGAGAAAAGAGGGAGAGTTTGAGACTCTGATTGAAACCAAGAACAAACCAAGTTTGAGGTCTCAAAAAAGGGTCACAAAGATTTGTGGAAAGGGCTTAGAGAGAGAGAGAGAGAGAGTGGGCAGTGTGAGAGAGATAGAGGGTGGTTTTGGTTGTTATATAGTGGGTGTTTGCAAGTTGTGTTTGGAGGAATTTTTAGTTAAAAATAAAATAGGTTTTGATAATTAATAAAATAAAATATTATTTGAAATTTATAAATATTTTATTTTTTTTCTTACATATATTTCATTTAATTGTAAAAAGTTTAACAATCTTTTAAATAACTTACTTATTTAATCCATCGCAAAGAACACCTTAAAATAACTTACTAAAATAATCATCATTCCCAAGCACGGGAATAGGAAACGATGGTCAAGTCCTGATGGGAGATCCACTTGGTGGGGACCCCGACATCCTGATGATACACCGTGTTGACATCTCTTTCCCACCGCCACCTGGCAGCCTTCGCCACGTGTTGCTCTCTAGATGGCCTCTTCTAGCCATGTGAATATTTGCCACCACGAACCCACAACTGCTACCTCACCCTCACCTCAAAAAAAAAAAAAAAATATCGACTACTTTTACCAACCATGCAAACCATTTGGTTCAATCAGTATTGAAAAAAATTTAGTACTTGCGAGGGAAATTTATAATCTGGCTTTGGGCTGTGGTAGAAGCTGGACGGATAGGACCGAACATGTTAGGCCGAGCTAATTTGGGTCAGTCCAGAGTGGATTTTGCCCGGTTGAGGCTCAGGCCCCCTGTTTAGGCTGAGCTGACTGACGCCTCCCTGGAGTTGATCTTGCTCGGTCGAGGCTTAGGCTCGAGGTCCAGGTCCAATGTTTGAACCGAGCTTGCTTGGCCAAGATGACCGCCTGCTAACCCGGGTTCCATGGGTCGCACACGTAGCTTGGCGGGAAATGTGTTCTATTTATCGGCCGACCTGTCTTAAACTCGACTTTGCCGGAATGCTTCCGAGCTCGGTTGTTATGGAGCTCGGCGAGCGGAGCACTCAGGCACGTTGCGCAGCACGGTCATGGGAAGTCGAGGTGATGCGGCAGGGATGCCAAGCTCCCACTAATGTAGTCTGGTGGTATGGTTAAGTGGTGATTACTGGATTTGTGCTGACAGATGGGAAAGCAGCTCCACGTGTCAAGAGACCAATGGGAGTAGATTTGAGCGCAGAAAGTATATAAGCAAGATTGTGCCCCCCATGCTGAGGATGGAACATCATTTGGTAAGAAACACTCATTGTGATATATCTCTCTCTTCCTCTCTCTCCCCCTGAGTGTATGTGCTAACTTGACCGTCGGAGGGGTTTTCTGGCAACACACTGCCAGGCAGCTTACCACCGTTGTGTTTGCAAGTCGATCGGATAGACAAGGAGCTTAGACAAAAGGAGTACAGACAGCGACGAATATTTGCTCCCCGTACAATTGGCGCCGTCTGTGGGAAGTTTGATAGACAAAACCTTGTCTTCCAAGTTCATCTGATCGCCTTCAATGGCGAACAACGACGAGATACCGTTGTCCGCCATCGACGGTGTTACCCCGAAGTCAGCCAGACGGAGAGACAGACTCCCCGCCGTTCCAAACATGGCGGACCTAGAGACTTCCCCAGGTGGACATTCAAGAGACGCGCGTGATAAGCGAACTAGAAGTTTTGATCACTCGCGGAGCCCAGACGGACACCGACGGCGAAGAGAATCGCACGCTAGACGTCTGGAGCACAAGTCAAGGGACCAAGACGCCGTCATCCAGATAATGGCGACGGAGATGGAACCTCTTAAATGGCATGTTAAAAGGAAGGGTGTTACTGGAGTGGGAGACCACAGTGAGAGCACCCAACCATGCCGTTCAGGCAATCAGAGCCAGCGACACACTCCCTCCCTTTCTATCACCAGAAGCTACAAGGTTAGAGAATCCGACGCGTCTGTAGAGAAGTCTAGTGCGCAAGATAGTACCTATCAACCCTCACGTCCGACGACGACGTCGAGGTATTCCTATTCCGCTCGCTTAGAGGGCTTACAGGCAGTCTTGGAGAAGCGGGCTCGCCGGTATGAGACTCAAAGGGTGCTGGCGCTCCAGCGGCTATCTTACGGGGGCCGCGCCAGTGAAGAGGTCATAATGCCACCACCCCGCCCAGTCGTACCTCTCCTTCTACACACAGATTTGGCGAGGCTGAACGCCACCCCCTTCTCCCTTGAGATAGAAACCACTCTGCTCCCCGCGGGCTTTCACCAGCCCAAGTTTACGCTCTACGACGGAAAGACCAATCCATATATGCATGTAAGCCACTTCCGGCAGGTCATGGCCGGACATAGGCGCAATGACGCTCTTATGTGCCTTATCTTCCCGTCGAGTTTGGGCGAGCTGGGCTTGAAATGGTTTGAGAGGCTGCTGGAAGGGAGCATCGAAAGGTGGCAGCACTTGGCGAAAACCTTTGTGATGCGTTTCAAAACCAACACCAGAACGCCAAAGGAAGTTGACCACCTTCTCACATACACATGCCCTGAAGGTCTCTGCTCCATCTGCTCACCTCTCAGAGCATACATTTGATGTACTGACTGAGCTGAAGAGGCTCCCTAATTGGCCCTCGAAGCCTGTGCTGACTATGCAGGCTGGTGGCTCTGTGTCTGCCTTGAACCAGACACATCAAATGTGGCACCCAACTGAGAACAAAACCTCTTCAAGTGCCTTACCTACCCACACTAATAACAAATAGGTGACTACCCTCTCCCCTGACTCTGGCTCTTAGGACGAGCCGAAGATGATGCAGACCGCTGCCTTCCTCCCCTCTGCGAGCAAGCTAAGGACTTGTGGCCTAACTAGCCACATTTAAAGCAAGTGCAATCTCCCTAATCACCTCTCCCAAAACCCAAACTCGAGACTAGAAAAGTGGACCTCGACTGTGCTCCCTGGGACTGCTGTGGGGTAGAACCCCTTTGCCTCTTACTGTCCCCCTGAACATTTTGACTCCTCCTAAAGCCCTTCATCCGCTCCTCCTCCATCTGCATCACGGTTTCAAGATAAGCCGTCGACTCTACAAGTCGCCCGTAATCTCTAATCATTGAACTGGCTACCTTGAAAAGAAGCCCGATCCTCAACCTTTTCTCGAATTCCACACAACAGCGCTCCTCTATCGCCACTAACTCTGGTGCAAATCTAGAGAGGCTAGTAAAGGCTGCCTTAAACTCGGCAACAAGCATGTTGAGCTACTTAAGCTGTGAGAACTGCTCCCTCAACTTCTTCCTAACCGTGGGAGGTAAGAACTTATCTTGAAAGACGTTGACAAAAGCCTTCTAAGTCACTCCAATGCGCCCACGCGCATACATCCACCATTGACCCGCATCTCCCTTCAGCTAGAAAGATGCCAAGGTCACTCTCAACAGGTCGTCCCTAATGCTGAGTATCTCAAACGTCTTCATCATTTGCTCGAGCCATTCATCCGCTTTCAATGGCTCCACAAACTCGTCCAAATTCGACCGGAAAAACTCTTGCTTTAGAAAAGACAGCCCCGTCTCAGCAACATGGGCTTGGACTTGATTTTCAGCTCTACGAATGTCCATGGATTCCCGCAATGCTCCGGCCATTTCGTGGGCTAAGGTGCCCATGGCCTGTTGACCTGTCAGTTCCGCCACATTGGCCTATCCAACTTCCTCCTCTTGTGTCGGAATATCATTTGGTATCAACACCTCCTGCCGTCTAGGCCTACTACGCCTACCACATGTTGACATCCTAATGAAGGTAACAAAAGATATTAGCATATTTACAAATGTGCCAAAGCTAACTCACTCGCATCCTAAATAATGGTCATCCTGCGACATTACCAGAGTTCCAATTAGAAACAATAGTGATCAAGTACTCTTCTAATAGGACTTCTAAAAATCCGTAGACCCAATCAATATCTTAGGAATTAAATCTCATACCCATATAATCACATAAGCGTGTTATCACATAGCATTACAAACATACAAACATCTCTATCAAACGAGATAAACCCATTGTGGTAAAAACCACTTCCCACATACCTTTAGTATTCAAACCTGGTACACTCTGATACCAAGTTGTAACGTCCCAAAATAATGCCATAAACCATCTACAACGATAAGTAAATAATAATATACATCAAAGTATAATATCTTTCTATTACATAAGATTTGGTTGTACAAAAGGGTGACACATGCGAATATACATTCATAAGTCATAACCTTGAATCTATAGCATGTGTCAACAACAAAGAAATGAAATAGAAGTTAAATAGATAATTGAAATTACTTGAAGGCTACAACTTTCCTAGACAGTACTTGATTACATCACAACGGATTTAAATTCAATACAAAATAAGCCCTAGGCTTAATAATAAGAAGTAAACAAAATGAAGCTCTTGCTTCAATCCTCCCAAGCTACTACCTTGGCGAAGGCATCTCACCAATACCTAAAAATATTTTTCCTATATAGGGTGAGCCAAAACCCAGTAGAAATAATCCAACACAATATATTAATCTTAATAAAGATATAAGGGTAAAATGTATATGCAATGCTCATGACAAAACAATTTATATCTTTCCCAAAAGCCACATAATGCTGGGTCTATGTCATAGTTCTCCAAATCATTTCCTTTAAAATAGAAAATAGGGGGAAACTCAACTTCGTATAGCCTTTCACGGATATTTCGTCCGCGGGAAACCGTCAAACGGGACCCATGTAAACGTAGGCTATGCAAGCCCTACTATTACCATTTTACGGATATTTCGTCCGCAGAAATTGGCACCTATGTATGTGCGCGTTTTTCAGGACTTTTACCCTGGACACATAGGCCAACTTAATTTGGTGATGCACACCTCATTCCTACATTCACCCATTTTTCTCAAAATCACATACATGTATAATTTTTGCTCACCCTAGACACATAGGCCAACTTAATATTTTGCTCACTACGAAATATACACATTTTCATTCACTACAAGAATATATAATTTTTATGTATTAGTGTTGGCCATCTATCAATTGCTAATCTTTTAGTCATTGTTCATGGTTGGTTTAGTGTATTTCTACTGGGCTGTGGCTCACCCT